TGTGTGTGTGTGTGTGTGTGTGTGTGTGTGTGTGTGTGTGTGTGTGTAAGTTTCCTGCTCCATCACACTCTACCTTATTCCTTTGAGACCGGGTCTCACACCGAGAACCCCAGTGGTTCTCCTATCTCTTCTGACACAACACTGCTTTACAAGCAGAAGTGGCCACCTTCCACTTTTTTATATTATTATTAAAAAGTGTGTGTGCTGGGTGATCAGAACTCAGTTCCTCTCACAGCATGTTCCGTGTTCTTAATCACAGAGACATTTCCTTATCCCATTCATTTATTCTTTTCTTCCATTCTTTTTTTTTTTAATCAGAATGTTTTAAAATTTGTGGGGGGGGGAGATGGATAATCCTTGATAGATTAGGAAATGCATCACCTCTCAGAGAAAAACAAACAAACAAACAGAAGAAACGGATTGTTATGATACAGGCACAAACCGTGTACCTCGAGACTAATCAAGATGGAGGGAGGCTCAAAAAGCAAACGAGCGTAGCTTGAGAAAATTTCCCAACGTTTGGAAAATTAACTTTAAAAATATTTTCTGTGCACATTGTCTCCCTTATAAATCACGAGACTAACATTCTGTCAGTAAATATTAAAGTCAAATGCCAGCATTCCTCTCCGATTTCATCCATAAAGACTTCCGTAAAAGCTGGGGGGCAACAAGCTTATCCAAATCCCTCTCTTCTCTTTTTTTTTTTTTTCAAAAGAATTTCTCATGTAGAAACATAACAAAAGAGTAGCCAAACAAATGAAAGAACTAATAAGAGAGAAGTATCTATAATTAGCAGTGAAATTTCACTCTTTGGCAACCACGTACTTTTTCATTTGACAAGCCCTGTGCAGTCTGCAGTGTGTTTTTGGCTGTCTTACTGCCAGAAGGGAAAACTTCCTGGCTAACAGTGATCCAAACAACTGAACTCAAGCTCTCATCCCACAACTGTGCTGTTGGCTTGTTCATGAAGATACTGAAAGACAACACAGCAGTTCAAAGAGGGCAGGGTCAATTCAGCAGATGAGCTGGGCTAGGGACTCTTGTCCACGCAACAGCAGCCAAGCCTCAGGCTTGGGAGATGGAGGCTGCTGTATACAGCCTCACTTTGAAGACAATTTCAGACCAGTTCCTGGAGCTAAAAGCAGACACAGCGCAATGCTTCTAATCCTCTATTTTGAACAGGCAGCAGGCTTTGTCAGCCAACATCTTTTGATTTGAATTCAAAGAGAAATACAATGCGTTGTTTTTTTTTTTTTTTTATTTTCTATCATGTCTAGTTCAGGAAATAGTGAAACCCGAGGGGAGGAAAAAAAAAAAAAAAACCTCTTGTCATAAGATCCCAACTAAATATTTTAAGAAGATAAGGACAGGCAAAGAGAGAAGAGTTTGAAATTAAGGACCACATTGTTTGGCTCATAAAACCAGAGTGTATTTTGAATTCCTCTGAGGCATGCTTCCTCTGATGTTGCAAGCATACACACAATGTCTAGAGTTGGTAGAAAGAAAAACATGCTCAGTGATAAACATTTAAAATTGGGAGACACGTTTAAAAAATTTAAAGCAATTCATTAAGAACTTTCAGTGAGTAGTACTTTGTTCTAGATATATGAAAAATGGAAAGGAAAAGAAGCAGGCAGTAAGTGTTCTCAGCAATCTATCTGAGGGGTCTAAAACACTAAAAATAATTTAGGATATCATAAAATATTACACAGTCTCTTGGCATTCATAAGGTGACCCCTCGTCCCTCAAAAATATTCAATTAATATTTTAACTTAAAATGAATAATTCAAAGAAGGCTCATAGCCCGTCAATGTTCTCTTAAAATGAAGCGAAGTAGAACAGGAATTTCAAGAGATGTCTCCGTACACTTCTTCCCTAATCATTGCTACCATGCTCCTAACAGTGTTGACAGCTCTGTCCAAACTTCCTTTTTCCTTTGTTGAACTCTATGCCAATCTCCCAATCCTCTATAGGTTAAATATTTAGTAATATTTTCATTTTATCTGCATTTCTTTCTCTGGTTCAGAACTCAACTCCCTCTTCCAACACTTGTTACCCTTCCCCTCTTTTCAAAGCAGGGCTTTGCTTGTTTCAGGAGACCTAATGCGTGTTCAAATTTGTCAAAAAAAAAAAAAACCCACTTACGAGTCATATTGAAAACCAGAAACTTTGACAACAGGGCAAAGGGTATTTACTAAGTACATTGAATCACCAGATTAGCTTTGGAGCGTTTCAGGTACAAATTTCTATGTTAGTAATATTTCAAATTAGTGCAATATTTGTGGGGCTTGGGGACCACCACCATTCACTAGAGGACAATAATAGCCACTAGCAGACACATGCCCAGAATCCACAGCAGAGCTCACAAGTGAGAGACACAAGAAAAGCCCAGCCCTTGAGTGGATTATCTTTGGCCAGGACAGTAGATATTTGACAGGTACGTATTTGCCAGATGTTGCAAACGTCAGCAAAATCACATCTGAACAGATTTTAGTCATCTAGGGCAATTATGTATAGAACTAAATCTTTGAAGGCATCAATGACTTCGTGGAGGTGTCCAGGAGTTCTCTACCTGGCCCCAGGTTTGCTTCCTCTGCGCCTAGCCGCAACAATTTTAACCTGCTGTAAAAAAACCTGGCATGTCCATATTCCATAATCAGTCATTTGACCAACTGATATTCAAATTTTGGCTTATAGGAAATTAAATATGTTCAGTAGCTAAGTTGGCTTGGTTGAGAGGACTTAAGGAAATTGATATTTTGGTCAGTTGGTGGTAGACAGATGTCCGAATATCCGTTTGATGTCTAGATTTAGCAAGTCTGGCACAAGGATGAGAAAGCTTATTCTAACTCCACTACATTTTATTAGCTGTGTTAAAGTTGTTAAAGACTGAAGTATGACCTGTCATGGTCTTCCTTCCTCTCAGAGCCTAGAAATACTAAAAGAGAGATTTATGACCATGTTTTCATCACATTGGGTGCTGAATCTGCTTACAATAATTTCTTTTCTTTGAAAAAAAAAGTTTTTACTTTATAGCCATTAAAAGCCAGGCTAACAATGAAAAATATAAATCATCCTTTTTAGGCTGGCCCATGGCTCCTCACAACCTCACTTTTGACTCTGCACAAATGTCTTCTAAGGGCTGTTGTCTCAGTGTTAACTGGCCCAGTGGAGACTCTCTTTAGGTAATGAGCAAACATTGTATAATTTTAATTGTTTTTCTTGTTATGTTTCTTCCATATCTAGAGATAGAAGAACTAAGAAATGAAATGTGAGTTTGAGTTAAAACAAAAAGCAGGCAAGAAAGTCCTTGGTGAATTTGATGGTTCCTTAAGTTGCTAGACTAAAGAAAAACTGATTCTACAGTATAGAATATATATATATATATATTCTATATATATATTCTATGTAGCTATATATATATATATATATACACACACACACACACATATACACACACACACACACACACACACACACATATATATATATACACACACATATATGCTAGTTTCAACTAGAATGGCCCCCACGGGCACATATGTTTAAATACATAGTTCCAGTTGGTGGAACTATTTGGGAAGGATTAGGGGGTGTGGCCTTGTTAATGGAAGTATTTCACTGTGTGCAGGTGCCATTTCCAATCTATTCTCTCTGTCTCATAGCTGTACATCAAGATGTAAGTTCTCAGTTGTTCCTGACACCAAACTGCTTTCTCTTGCATCATAGACTCTAACCTTCTGGAGTAATCAGCCCATTACACGTTGTCTTGGTCATGGTGCTTTAAAGGACAAAAGTACTTAGCTAGGTAATAAGTAAAGACAGAAATGACTAACTGACTAAAAACCCTTCTAAGATTTGTCACTATTTCTAGTATCACTAGTGTGTGTGCATGTCTATGTACATATGCATATGTGTGCGAATGCATGTGTGCGAATGCCCTCAAAAGCCAGAAGAGGGCATGGCACACCCAGGAGGTAGATTTCAGTGCTTTCTAAGAAACCCAACATGGGCTGGGAACCAAACTCTAGCTCTCTACAAGAGCATCAAGCACCCAGCTCCAACAGTTGGGAATTTTGAGTATTCGTAATGCTCCTCATAGTCTTATAAGTATTCGTATTAATTAAATTTTCACATAGGATTCTAAACTGGATATGAATGTTTTGAGAAGCACAGAAGGACTAGGTAATTTGCCCAACATCTTCCATCTAGCTAATAGACTTGAGTGTTGGAAGCCTAAGTCTAAAGGCCACGTTCTTCACACCGTTAGCCTCTTAAAACACAAGGAAGCAACAGAGAAATGTAGCTATGGATGCCACATATTTATTAATTTATGTAGTACTTATGACAACTGTGTGGGCTAGAAACAAGGATT